TTAGTCATTACAGTTATACTTGAATCTTCAAGAGAATAGAAAATAATTTATGATACACTGTGGACAAATGAAAAATTGTGTATCAAAACTGAGAAAGCCAGCCAATTCTTACAGCCAAATCTCGAGCTGTCAAATAACTGAGTTTCCACTGAAAATCACTCCAAATCTAAATTTCTCACATCAAAAATTCACTAAGACACATCACTTGATGTTCAGCAACAGTCACATGGCATGTTAACTTATATACCCACTTTTGATTTCTGAACTTTCTCCAAGTAAAACTTGTTTTAAACAACTAATAAAACAATCCTCCTCAAAGAAATGGATTTAGAAAGCAGATATTAAAGAAGGAAAGACAAAGACATGAAAAGAGTTCCAGGCACAATTAATAAACGATCTTGTTAGTCTTTAAAGTGCTACATGACTACTTCTTTTGTTTTACCAAGATCAGACTAACATGGCTACCTCTCTGTAATTTTCCAACATTGTGTTAATAAAAAAAAATATTTTCAAGAAAGCAAATTTCATAATTTTACAAACAAATGGCTTTACAAGGGGTGTTTGCTACAAATATTAATACTAACACATTTGCATTAAATAATCAAAGATATTTTTGAAGAAAAGCAAATACAGGTTGAACCTCTCTATGCTGGGACTCTCTGGTCTGGCAACATCCTTGGTCCAGCTAGACCATGGATGTTCCTGGACCAGTGAGTCCCGGTGGAGGACCAGCCACCGAGAGCGCTGAAGGGGCCAGTAGCTCAGTCAGGCTGGCTGCAAGGGGGGCAGGGGCTGGGAACCCTGCCACAGGAGTCTGGCTGGGCTGGCGCAGCAGAGGGTTCCGGTATGACAGTGGGCTCCAGTGGGGCAGTGGACACCAGCGGGGCTGGTAGCCTAGTGCAGCATCCCAAACAGAGCCCAGAAGAATCAGCGGCAGGGGCGGGGCGGGCCGGGGGGGGGGGGGCCCCAGCCGGTGAGCCCAGCTGGACTGGCCGCAGGAGGGGAGCCTGCAGGGAGGCTGTTGGCTGGGCCAGAAGCAGAGCCGGGCTAAGGGGATCTTTGGGGGGGGGGGGGTCAGAAATGACCTCCCCCAGTCCAGCAAACTCCCTTGTTTGGGACAGCTCAAGTCCCAAAGGTGATGGACCAGGAAGGTCCAATCTGTACCTCTGACAAAATGTTGGTATTGAGTTCACAGTACACAGACCACAGAAGATTCATACAATTACTGGATTAGTGCCATATTTATATATATTTTCTACTCTGTGAAAGGACACCTATTTCAATGAAAACCTTATGAATAGAACAAAATACTACTAATAAACTCTTGACACTAGTAGTCACAATGGTGTGGTCAAACTGCCAGCAATAATTTACTTGAAAAAATGGTGACAGCCTGGCATGAAAGATTTTGTTTTTAGATCGTGAGTCATGTTTTAGTTCTGTTGCTGTGTATTGAAGACATAAGAAATATTCTAGCTGAACAAGACTGATTTTTTTTTTCATCGGAATACAATGCTTATGTGTGTATTAATGTTAATACAGAATTTTTGCATTTCTGAACATTTGGATTCATAACTAGAAGTGTTTTGCAATTTTAAATATATTAGACCCCCAAAAGCTATGAAAATATACTCCTTTTAAAGTTTCCCATTATTCATTGTATATTTTTAGCGACTTTGCTTTTCTCACATTCCCCAACCAGAATTCACCACATTTGTTTGCTCTCTCAGCTTTCATCATTATCCCTTTATTCGTGACTCTTGTTTCCTTATCTATTGCCACACATTAGATAGGTAGTGTTCACATGCCTTAACCCCACGTCAACATCCACTAATCGCCATTTTTTTTTCTGAACTGCACTTTGCTTCAGTGCTGTCTAGTAGTTGGAGCAGGAGACAGCCAATAAATATCTTTACTTCGGATTCTTCCATTAACTCACTAAATAACTATGTGTATGTTACCTGACAGTCTCAGTGTCTCAAATTATAAAATAGAGATAATAATACTTATCCACCTCTGGAAAGTACATTGAGATCCCTACAACACAGTGGCACAGTGCTGTAATACAAGTGCAGGATATTATTCCCTTCCCAGATTTTCACTAATATAAGCTGACAACATTCAAAATCTTTTTAGACAGATATTACAAAAAAAAAAAAAGTTTACAAATAAAGCCTGCAAAATTAAAGATGTATCTAATACAGAATGTCAGCAACATTTTGGTGGGGTATGGGAACCCAAATTCCAAATATACCCTTATTACTTTGGAGTAGGGTCAGACTCATAACTAAATAAGGACCTATTTTTTTCCTGTTCTTGTTTGAGTGAAACCCCCAAAATCAGAAATTCCCAAATACACTAAGCAAATGATGAATATTCAAAAAAGTTGCCCCCAACCCTGCTTCCGCTAGCCACCCCTCTTCCCCCATCTCCGCAGGACAGCCCTGCTGCCCCCAAGCTTGCTTCCCGGCAGCCGGTTTCCCTCCCCACATACACACCTTCTCCCACAGCCCGTCCCGCTCTGCTCCCCTCCCGGCAGCCTTCCTGAGGCCCGGTATTTTTTTCCCCGTGGCCCAGTATCGGGCTGCGGCCCATAGTTTGGGAAACACTGCACTAAAGAATAATAATTTTAAAAAAGCCCAACCCTGAAACAACTGCTCATGAAGCTCCCTGATGCTGCTCAGGACCAAATTTACAATAACATCCCCCCTAATCCCAGACCTGGAGTTTTCTCTCTGTTACCCAAGATACACAAACCTGGAAAACCCGGATGATCCATCATTCAAGCATTGGCACACTTACAACAGGATTATCTGGCTATATTGACTCTCTACTCAGAACCTATGCTCACCCAATCCAACTCTTGAGTAAGATGAGAACTCTGTCCCTTAAGCCAAACTTTTGTTTGAACAAATTATTTGCCCAATCACTTACTAATCTATATGACAATTGGCAGGTGAAACATATGTGCTGAATTTGTGGGAGAACAAATCAATATGATTTGTGCCAGGACAAAGATGTGGGGATGAATTTCTGGCATTGCAAACCCACATACAATGTAATTCTTGGCAGAACAAATCTATACAATTACGGACTATGACAATTATGCAACACTGAATTTGTCACAAGAGAAAACTTTTTTATAAGATTTCTGGTAAGACAAGCAAATTTTATCTCCATCAGACAACTTAATATATTAGCATATTGTATCAAATATAACAGAAGTATTAACACGTATAACATAACCAATATGCACTAAATAATAATATATTGGCAGACCCATTTCAGGAAAGTATTTGTATTCAAGATGTCAATTAGGCAAGTGCCTACCTGAAAAATGATATCGTAAATCACATGGTTGGGGAGGGGAAGGGAAGGGAGTATCATATGGCATTTTGCAGCAGGAAAAAACGGTGTGAATTTCAAGAAGTTAGGACTTAACCATTTCTAGAAAGGAAATCATCAGGAGTTAATCCCATTAGATTATTGGTTGGATTTCCTCATAAAATACACTTATCAGAGTAATAAGCCTTTGTAACATCAGGAAGGATAAACTCAAAACATAACAAATGTTAAGCACACCCACTTAATTCTTGCAGGACAAGGTAAGGACTTGGCAAGTTAAACATATATAAATGAAATCTTGGTCAAAATAACTTGAATGGATCCTGTATTCAAATATGTAATAAATTATAGCTTTTTATTTTCCTCAACACAATTGCTTTGCAGCTGTGTGCCCCATTTCTGTATATGCACTGAAAGATTTCTAGGATAGAAATAAGTCCTCCCTGAGTTAGGTCTATACTTAAACAAAAAAGAGTTGTTTGTTTTAGTCTTTAAAATACATTATTTTTCCTTCAGTTTGTAAATGACTTGACTATTAGGAGGATTACACCAATTTTGTTTAAGAGGATTGTTGCATTTGGATTTACAAGCACGTAGACAGATTAACTTTAAGGTTGAAGGTTATTTAGTACCTGGATCAAATCCATACAACATATGTTAGATTTGTAAACTATAAACCAGTCATCTTTGGTATAGGTAATCACAACCTATAAACAATATTTGCCAACCATTTACACATCATGGTCTGAGGCACAGCATAGTAATTAGAAGGTGATAGCTAAAAAATACTTAGGAAAGTAACTACTGTCACTCAGATTCTGTAGTGTGGTAATGGGTGCCAAATGATGACTTTTGTAATCACTGTCTGCCTTTAAAAGTAATAGAATCAATAGAATTATCAGCCTGTAAGGGTCCTAAAGAGGTTGTGTAGTCCAGCACCCAGTACTCATGGCTAGAGTTACCAGATGGTTTCAAAAAAATACCAGACACACTAGATCTCAGATTGGGGTGGGGGTGACCGGCTGGGAGGGGAGCAGGGCTGGCCGGAAGGAGCACGGCTGGCCGGGAGGAGATTGGGGGAGGGAAGAGGGAACCAGCCAGCAGGAAGCAGGGCTAGCTGGGAGGGGGTGGGGGAAACAGGGCAGGCTGGGCGGGAACTGGCCGGTGGGGAGCGGGGCTGGCCGGGAGGGGAGGAGGAACCGGCCGGCAGAGAGCAGATGTGGCCTGAGCGCATGCAGATCCCGGGATGCTGCCCATCCCACGCACAGTCCTGGCGGGGTGCACGGGCGAGTCCGGCCCTGGGGATTCCATCCCATCCCGGCCCTGCCGCCCTCCTCTCTACTGTGTAGTTGCGTATGGCCTGGCTGGTACCAGCCAGGCAGTATGCAACTACATATTGATACTCATGATAATAATAAAACTTACTTAATTAGAAAATACCGGGCATTTATATGTCTGGTATTTTCTCAATTTGTTTCCCAGACAGAAAGCTCAAATACCGGACTGTCCAGTTCAATACCGGACAGCTAGCGACCCTATTCCTCGCAGGGCTATTTTTTATCTAAATCACCGCATATGATTCTATGTTTGCTGGTATGCAAATGCCTTTTTATGACACTTTTCATAATTAGTGAAAATGAAAATCAATTGTGTACCTTGAGTAGATTTGTCAACAACAGTTCTTTTTCTGCTATGGCTGTTGTAGTTCAGTCTTAGTTCTTGGCTATATTCATTTAGAGTTTCTCTGGAGTCATAGGATTGTCTTGGTTTTCTCCCATCTTCACTCTCATCTGAAGAACTTGTATAAGCTAGATCCATTTCATGCTTAACTTTTGACAGTGGCTGGTAGGGTTTGCAGTCCATCTGCTCCATTTCTGATTAAGTACTCTCAAAGTCATGAAAACAAGGAATGGATCCCCTAAGGAAATGGTCCTGAAAAAGACAAAAATCCATCTCAGATATTACACATAAATATTGGCTATTCAGGGCAAAACAAACAAACAAACAAACAAAAAAATGACATTAAATCACTGTGATTGAGAGAAGCAGCTGGCTCACAGGTTTTCAAGAAACACTATCAAAATAGCTTTGATAAAACCCCAAATCAAATGATTTTTATTAAGTCAGAGTACTAATATTCTCTTATACTTCATTCATAAAGTACATTGTGAACAAAATATATGACGAATGGAATTATAAAGTACATTATAATACCATTTGAGTAGAAAACCTGAATTTCTAGTTATTGAAATTATTGGATCTAATAATTTATTTATCTAAAAATCTGTGTGCCCTCAAACATTACATTTGTAGATTCTTTTTAACAGAAAGTTCCAGAAATCAAAGAGCGTTCTAGTCCTCTGGCAGTGTTTGGTTACATAAATTAAAATGTCTTACTAGTTGACTGGACATTTGACACTGTAAAACTCTTAGGCATGTTTAAAATTAAAATGGATAGCTTATGACGGACCCAGAATACCTATCATAATTAATTCAGAAAAAGTGACATTTTCCCTTTAAATAATGTGAATTTCTTAAAAAAAACCTCTTTTAGCTCAAAGCAACATGAGTCCATACAGAAAGAGACACAATGAAACCTTTAGAGAGATATGAAAAATTCACTGTTAGCTCAAGCACTTATCATATCATTATTAGCAATGAAGTTTCATCTGCCTAACAGGTGAATTTGGCCTATAGTCTCACTTTTTTGAATATATTTCTATTAAAGTTAATGGAAATTTTATGGTGAAAGGGTAACACTTTACCACTGCTTCATACAGCAGCAACAGTTAGCTCCAAGACTAAATCCAAGACCAGTAATTTGTCCAATAAAGGTATGTCTACACAGCCGTTTTTCCGAAAAAAAAAAATTCACTCACATCCACACTGTAATCATTTAAAAAAAAAAAAAGAACATCGAAAGAACAGAGGGTTTTTTCTGACGTTGATAAACCTCTTTCTACAAGGAAGAAGCCTTTTTTTGAAAGAGCTCTTTCGGAAAAAGGCGTGTGTGGACAGGGACATGGGAATTATTTTGAAAGAAGAAAGAGGGAAAAGCACAGGTGCCCTGGTGACCACTCCGTCCATAATAATCACAGCTTCAATGTGAGACAATGTCCATTCAGTGTGGACACTATCTTCAAAAAAGCAGATTGCTTTTTTGATGGGCTTTTGTGTGTGGACGCTCTCTTTTGGAAGAAGTTTTTTTCAGAAGGATCTCTTCCGGAAAAGTTTCTTCCAAAAGAAGCCTGAAGTCTAGCCTAAGAGACAGAGGTGCAACAAAAGGGGTTTGCTAACACTAGACTAGTAACTAATGTTCATTTAGGAAAAAAAACAGTGCATCAAATAAAAGCACATTAGACTCGTATGCAAAAAAATAAAACTCTAAAACCAAGAAGCTATGTGAGAAATACTTCTGTTAGGCAAAAACGTCTCCCACCAGAAGTTTATAGCTTCTTGTTGATTTTCATATCATCTGAACAAAGCATGGCTAACGCTCAATGTGATTTTCCAAGGCATCTATAATCTGATAACGATGTTTCAACCAATCAACTACAAAATATCAGGGAATGTTCTGGCTATGAATGGCTAGAAATCTATTGATTTTGATTTAAATCAGAAATAAAATGAAAGGTGAAGATAGGGAACAAATGGAGCCCCTGACATCTAACCACCAATATCACAACTTCAACTGCCTTTGTACTTGTTCACAGACCAAAGCACTGGCTGATAGACTGATTCCAGCCTTATAACATCCTCAATCTTAGCTCTGCCACACTCTCAATACAATTAAAAATGTTGACACTGAAAGGAAAAGTTTTTCTGTGAGAAACTGAAAACTTGGGATTATATACAATACTGTAAAATTCAAAGTATCAAATACCTACTGCTGTGAGCCACTTTTGAAGTGTGTTTCTCTCACCCATTTTACAAGTATATATGACAGTTATGTATTGTATATGTACATACTGTGATAGAGCTCCAAATGTGCTTGTGGGTCCTGCACTTCTGGTGAATAGTGTTCAGCATCAGGTGTTCACTATGTCCTACTACAGGTTCTCTTTCTTTACTAGAGGCAAGGTTCACAGCCTACTGAGCCATACTCATCACAAGCTAGTCCATAATACAGGAGTGATACCCCACTACAGTCCTGGTCTCCCTATCCAGGGACAGACTCTGTAGTGGTTTAGGGAGGTTGTGGGGAACCCAGGCCCACCCTCTACTCTGGGTTCCAGCCCAGGGACCCTATGGCAGCAGCAACAGATAGGGTTAGTTCTACTCCTAGTCTGGCAACTACTTCTCTGGGCAACTTCCCCAAATGATCCCTTCCAGTATCCTTCCTCTGGTATCTGAGCAGCTCATTCTGCTCCTCCACTGCACTCTGCCTGACGTGCAGCTTCCAGCTCTCACCCAGATTCCACTCACTCTCAGTACTTTGGCTCTTCTTTCCTCCTCATGTGCCTCTGAACTAACAGAAGAGGAGTCCTTTTAAGCCAGCCTCAACTGGTTCTTGATTGGCTCCAGGCAGTCTGATTAGCCTGACTCCCTTGGCTCTAGAAGGCTCCTAATTGGTTCCTGATGTTCTAACTTACCTGATTGTCCAGACTGCTCCTGGAAAGTGCCTGCTGGTTCTAGGACAGCTTTACTCACTGAATTTTTTCAGTGGTTACATGTTTACACACAGGGTGGGCAAGTCAGAGCTGGTGCTGGCAGGGAGCCGGGCTTCAAACCAGCTCCCCACGAGCACCAGCTCTCACATGTGTCCCTATCCCCCAGTGCTGCTGCCTCTGATACAGATACAGCAGCGTGGGGTGGAGTGGGGAGGCTTGAAAGCCAGCTTCCTGCAGATACTACCTGCTCTCCCCCACTCTTTGTACTGCTTCCTATCAGAGGCAGCAGCATGGTGAGGCAGGGACAAGGCAGGTGGCTCTGTGGGAGCCAGCGCTCATAGGGAGCTGGCTTTTTAACCAGCTCCCCTTTAGCACCAGCTCCTGCCTCCCCTCCCTGTGTTGCTGCCTCTCTAGGAGGCAGTGGAGAAGGGAGGAAGAGGCTCTGTGGGAGCCAACATGCCCAGGGAGCCAGCTTAAAAGCCTATTCCTTAGGAGCAGTGGCTCCCGCCTGCCCAACCCTTGCTGCATATCAGAGGCAGCAAGGGGGGTGGTGCATGTGGTCATTACAATTAACCAATAAGCTTTGGCTTATCGGTTAATCATGTAAATTACTAGACACTAACATCCCTAATATGGAAATGGGGAACATGGATGCACACAGAGCCCCTGGCATTCGAGAGGGAATAAGAGAGAACCCTGGCACAGGATGCCAGGTCAAATAGGGGGCAACACAGCCCCTCTCACATGTGAAAGTGGGCACATACAGAGCCCCAGTAAGAGGAAGAGTGGGGCATTTGGGGATCTGGGACATGGAAGAAAGATAAATGGGGATACACACATGGGAATGTGGGACAACAGTATGGGGTGGGAGGAGAGAGACAGCCTGTAGCATTTGGTGGAGATGTCAAGATGGGACAAATAAGCTCTGGCATGCAAGGATAGGGAGAATGGGGGACACACTAAGCCCTCAGCATAAAAGGGAAGGGTTTCAGGATATTCTTGAAATAGAATGGAATAGTAGGGTGGCAAAGGTAATTTAAAAAGCAATGAAAAAATGCAGTGTTCCCGTTATGTGCACTCTGTTCTGCTTTGAAAAACAACAAAGTACCTTATATATATGAAATCACATTTAGCTCAATTAAGCTGTAAAACTAAACATATGTCTAGTTTAATGCATTTTCCCCTTATGACTGCATAACACACACCCCCACACACATTTCTATGCACACCTATTGTATGCAAGGCACAAAGAGACTTACAGAAGCCAGTACTACCTTTGTGCACCTTGAACCTTTTAAAAATGTACAAAGGTTCCTATGGAAGAAAAGCCTTGTGGCTTATCTATTTTGCAGGAGGTCCACACAAGGTGAATTCTGGCTGCACAAATCTTTTGTGAGAAACCGAAAAACTTGGGATTATATACAATATTGTAAAATTCAAGGTATCAAATACTTACCGCTGCGACACACTTGTAAAATGGGTTAGAGAAACACATTTCAGAAATATATATAACAATGATGTATCCTATGTTTCTACAAAATAAAAAGTCTCCACTGATTATGAAAACTGAGTACTGCAAAGATATACATTTAACAGCTTTAACTGGTGCAATATTGGAAAATGGAAAGCTTCAATGTTTAGTTTTAACTCTGTAAAGTAGGAATGTGAAAGGTTAACCACTAAGCATCAGCGTAAATGGGTAATGCTTACCGGTACTGGTTAACTGATAGGGGCTAGAGTCACTCCTTGCTCATCCCAGGCAGGGGGGACTGCTCCAGCCCACCGCCTCCTTGTCCCACCACCACAACCACCCACCCCTTTGTACTTCAGGGCCCGCAGCAAAGCCTCCTCATGTGCCAGGCCAACAATCCTTGCCAGCTCCACTCCTGGGGAAGTGGATTCCCCGTGGCAGCAAAGCCTCCCTCGGAGCGGGGCTGGCAGAGGCTGGCAGCCCCGCTCCGAGGGAGGCTCCACTGTGGGTACTGCAGTACAAAGCTTATTTAAGCTTTATACTGCAGTGCCCTGAATAGTGTAACCACTATGATTTTTAGCCATTACATCCCTACTGCAAAGTATTTTGCTACATATAACTATTACTGTTCTTATATTTACTATTTTTTCATGACTTCTGTTTCACTGTCCTGCGTATACACGATTTTCCCATTTAAATACAGAAAGGATATTCAAAGACAGGTAACTTTGTGAAGCATTCTCTGAAAGGCGATAGCTATACTGCCCCCTTCTGTTCTTTTAATAGAGCAGAGGAGAAAATGTCAAAGCTTGTTTGTGGGACAGCACAACTCCATTCTCTTCCTAGGACTA